AGACGAACAACAATTTGAAAATAATTACTTTTCAATTATCAATATAATATTTACAGATCGAAAACTAGGTAATGAAAACCTTCTTCAGAGATGCTATCATGAAGACGAACTAAACAAATAAGGCAATAGATGTTGTCAATAATTTTTCGTGTCTTTTATTCTATCAATAAAAAGATTTTTACCAATATTCGGATGTTTTAATTGTCGACAAATACGAGCTTCTCTTTCGAGTTTTTGATGATCTATAAAAGAATGCAATTTGTTATCGTTATTATTCTTATTATTGGTTTTACCGCGAGTGGATAATTTTTTTGTATTGATAATTTTTGCAGCAAATTCTTGTCCAGAACTTTTTTGTATACATCGTCTTACAATGGAAAATGCGCCTCTTAAAAAACAAAGGAACAATAAGTATGAATATGCATTCTTCCTTTATAGAATGTAATTGATTCTAATCCATTATTAATGAATTCTTCTTTCTTTTGCAAATCGTTGCTCTTTCATTTACAAGGAGTTTTTCTTTTTTTTTCCAATAGGCTAAAACACCAACGCAACTTTTTTTATATTCTTTGTTAACAATCTTGCATGAATGAACAGTTAGTCAACAAAAAAGTCTGTATTCAAACAACTGATTGAAGTTGCTTTACCAAACTGAATGCTGTCTTGATGCTAATAACTTTTCCCTTTCTGATCTTGATGTCACTCTTATTTATGATAATATACGTTTAGTTTTAGTCTTGAACGAGAATATATAACAAAGAGCTATTTTCTTCTTCTTTTTTCTTTCTCATAGTCAGTCACTAGTGTTAGCAGTAAAAGATGAGGTCAGAATACGAATGAGAAAGGGCGAAGGAGAGAGAGAGAGAGAGAGAAATAAGAACGACGATGTTGGAGATGATGACGAAGAGAACGGGAGAAAAATAATATCCGCGACATACAAGCGCGATTAATCAGGAAGGCGAGTGACTGCATTCTATGAAGGTTCAACAATGTAACAAAAAGGCTGACAAAATGGTTGCCTAAAAGTTAGAACTGGACTCATAAGAGATAGTCAATATTTTTTACATTTATTTACGTCATCAATCAAACACATGACGGATATGATAGAAAAGGAGGGAAAAGAAAGAAAAATAATAACAACAAATAAAAGCATGAATCTAAGGACTCACTTGCCAAGCTCTTCTTTAAGGTCATATTCATCAGTAAAACGAGTGGATGTTGCAATTGAATTCGATACTGGTGTATTATTTGTGGCAGCAGCCATGTTGGTAGTAGAAGCAGTTGTAGGAGGCGGTATTGTGATATTATTATCCCTCTTAGTGTTTTTGTTGTTGCTATTGCTCAAATTATTATTATTAATACTATTGAGAAATTTGTTGAACAGGGTACTATTATATTTCATGCAGATAAGACGAGAAAAAATGAGTTTGTTCAGTCATATAAAACTGAATAAATAAATGGAGGTGGACGTTGGCTCATCATTATTGTTAGATTAAAGAAAATACTAGATTAATATGCGTTTGTTAGCTGCATGCGTTGCATAAACGCGACAAAACGAACAAGATTCTTGTCGTTGTTTGTCGCAATAGTAGAAGCAGCAACAACAGATATAGAAAAAGTTTATTTCTGGTAGACGACACACGAAGAAGCAAAACCCCCGATGCCGATTCAGGTGGAGAGAGAGAGACAAACTGACTGAGCGAAGAAAATAAGAAGAAGAAGAAAGAGAAGGAGAAGGAGAATGAGAGGAAGAAGAAGAAGAAGAAGAAGAAGAAATGCAGTAGTAGAAAACCCGTTATAGCTAAGAACAAGTAGGCAAACGCAAAGATGATGCCTAGGCCAGTTAGAGGCAGGAAAGAAAAAAAAGATCGTAATAGTCGTTGGGGATACACACGAATGCACAGTCACGAGTCAAATTCGTCCTAAAGCATAATGTCGTTAGTTGTTCAAAAAATAAAAAATAAAGTCTTCTCGTAGGAATTTTGATTGAAAGTAAAACGTTGATTTTGTTTTCTGATTGTATTGTAGGTTTTTTTTGTCAACGCAGGAAATGAAAATCTTTTCGATTGGTTTATCTTAATTCACCAATAGAAATTTCGACACAAAAAAGAAATGGCTTTCTTTTTCATCGTGCAACTAAAAAAAATTGAAGCGATTTGTAACAGTCTTCTTACTAAAAAAAGTAAAATTCTAACTAAATATTATTTGGATGAGGCCAGTATTTTTAATACGATTTCGAAGCACAGTGTACGCGTACATCCTACTGATCCAAAAAAATTATTTTCAAATTGTACTTCATAGGAAAACAAAGTGTATTCTCAAAAAGCAGAGTGCACATACATTTTGCTCTGCTGGGTACACTAATCATTAAAAACACTGGGTGAGACTTCGTAATTTGAAAAACCTAATTGCTATACAAACTAATAGAAGAGTAGAACAAGCTGTTTTTTAACATCGTGGTCCTGTGAGAATCCCTAATTATCTTTTCGGAGATTCAGATTTGTTTTACATAAGTAAATCTTGTAACCAAATCGAATACAATTCACATTTCACGATGCAAAATGATACTAAAATACTATATGGGATTTCGATGAGTTTTAGATGAAATTTCGTTAACGACAACATAAAAACTTTCTGTCTATGTTATTTTTTCTTTATTCATAAAAAATTTACGATAGTATGAATATCAAGCTTTATTATCAATAGAAAAAAATAGTACCATCGACTATTTTTCACACTGATATAAATCTAACTTACAAAGCAACAAAAAAAAGAAAAAAATAGTCATAGATCTGCACAATGATCAGTAGTGCGCAATAGGTTCTCGTACAATATATCCATGACCTTGTGATGAATTCATCGGCTGTGCAGCAGGAACATAAACAATTCGGTCACTGAAAATGAAAAAAGTACTATATTTATTAAATATAAAGAAAAGGCAAGAGATTTTTACCGTTGAGGGCGACAACACGGTAAACAGCAACAGAGTAAATTAAGTGGAATGCAGCAAAGACAAATATCTATCGAATCCGAACATGGACAAATATCAGGCTAAAAGATTGAATAAATTTACGGCATTTTATCACCGAAAATATTCTAATGAATACAAATCCCTGTAGTTTTATTTATTCGTACTTGTATATTAAAATTCAAAAGAAAAAACAATAAATCCATAGAAATGTAATCGTACTCTCGATTATTCTTCGGTTTAGATGAAGCCTTTAAATTTCTCTTAATTCTTATCTGGCTATCATTTTGAGCGAAATAATTTTTTCCGTCGTCTGTGCAAAATAACCCATATCAATTTTTTCATATTAAAACTTCGAATAGATTACATGAAAATTTTCATTAGAATACATCAAAGCAGAATTCAACTAGCTTTCTTTTAAAAACATGAACTACGTACAATACACATGTTATATATATTCGTTGTCTGTCGTTGCTTACTAAAATACAAAAATAAGCTTGTACACAGAATTGAGTGAATAAGATTGAAAATGTCACCTTTCTATGCTATTTCAATAATGCGTGACGATATTTTTTGTTTTCAATCGCCTCTACCTATGTTTGCTGTTTCTATACTTAATTACCCTTCATTTAAATATATCTTGGCATTCAATTCTTTGCATTGTCATTAATTGCATTCATAATAATAAGCATGTATTTTTCTTTTTATCAAGCCACAACCAAAGAACAGAGAAAAAAACGATACATTATATTACGATTTTTCTTACATACATGAAAAAGAGATATTTAGAAGAGAAAAAAAGAAGAATAATACAAAAAAGATTGAACAAGAAGAGGAGAAAAACTAGACTTTTAACCAAGTTAATCGTTATTTTGAATTATATGGTCGGTTAATTTCCGTTTTCTTATTTATAATTGTATGAGAAGACAATAACAGCGAATGAATATGACACACTGTTCGTTTAAATTTGAGTAGAAATAAGAAGAAAATATTTAGCACACGCAAAGAAGTAAAAAATAAAGTGTTAGTCATTATCATTGTCAAGGCAAATTTAAATAATAGTCGTTTATATGAGAGAATAAGGACGGATCGATCATCGAACTAACAACGCGACAAGAAATGTAAAAAAAATGAAAATACGTTTGACTAGTTGATCGAACATTCGATAAAAATTACCATTTGAACTTGAGAAGATTCATGAAGTAAATAAATTGAATCGTTCTAAAAGCACAAAAAAGGTATTATTTAGAACTTGAACAAAAGAAAAACCACAATTCCATTGATCGTTCAATATTCTCTTGAGAAAAACGATTTGATTTACTGGTCAATGAATCGAAATGGAGTTATATGTTTTTGTTTGTTTCAAAGAAAGTCAAATACTTTATCTTCAAGAGTATTACTCTCATTGATTTATTTTTGTCAAAAATATAAATAAAAGAACAAAGGGTTTAATTTAGCGTTTTAATAGGTCAGAACACTTGCTCCTGACTTGGTTTGACAACAGCTTCAATGATTTCAAATTGTCATTGTATAAGACAAGAGAGTTTAAAATAGAGTGCGCGCGTGCGTGCTTCATGTGTTTTTCTATTACTGGTTTATTTTTAAAGAAAATGCATCATCGGGTAAAGAGGACATGTCATTTACAAAGTCAAAGGAAGTAGTTTTGATGCTTGAAGGTGAAAAAAGAAATCTGATTATTTTAGTTAACCATAATCAGGTCTAACAGTATCTATATGTTAGTCGTTTTATTGTAAAATAGCTTCTCCTTTAAAGTTAATCTTTATTTAATTTACAAAACAATGTTCTTGATTACAACAATTAGAATCTTCATATGTTGAAGTTTTCAATAAAATCTAGATGCTTGCTGTCGACTAAAGCTTTACTTTTTCGGCTTCATGTACAACGAAAAACAAAAATATTTTCTTTAATTAATTAGTCTATTTAAACTGATACCCATAGACTAAGTTCATACGTAGGACTTCTCAACTTTACTTTAGATAGATATCGAACAGTAGGGTTTTGACGGATATTATTAGAATGATCTGCAAGCTATCGAAATGATAATTTCACTCAAATAGAATTTCAAAACACAGGCATGATATAACATTTTTAGAGTTCTACTAGTTTCACCAATAACGAGGATCAATTCAGATAGTTGACTCATCGAATAAATAATCGGACAAGTGAAGAAACTTTTCATACTTTTCGATCTGTAAGTATTAGATGTTGACGAAGTTAAAGGTGCAGGTAATTTTAATGTATGTGTCATCGTTGCCGTTGTTAGTTTACTTCCTAAACTTGATAGATCCGGTGGTGGTGGCAGAGGTTGTCCTGTTATTGAATTTTGTTCGCTTTTATTTATTGATAATGATCGCGAATTTAAACTTGATAGTGAACGATTATCATCATTATTCGATGATGACGATGATTGCGATGGTGGTGGTAGTAATAATAGATGATGCTCGTATAATGGTGATGTGATCGATAAATTACTTAAAGTATTTGACGTTGACGATATAGGTGATTGATTCGATGAGCTCGTATCATGAGCTGAAATTTGTTGTCGCATATGTTTCGATGTGATACTTGAAGGATTAATACCATTTCTTAAAAGTCTTAAAGAAAAACAGAGAGGAATTCTTTTCTGTAAGACAAGCAAAAATGAGATACATACTTCAATGGGGACAAATCAGTTTGTGGCTTAAGATCAATACTAATATCATTATCCGTTGATGTCGATGAATAATGTGAATGACGATCTGATTTTTGCTGATTTGATGATGATGACGATGATGTATTTGATTGCGTATTATTACTTGATGAACCTATTGATATACTAGTGGACGATGATGATGATGATGAACCAAATAATATGGCTACAGGATGCGAAGGAGATTGTTTTGTATTATTTTCTACTACATTATTATTATTATTATTTGATGATAAATCGTCGTTACTTGTCGAATGTGAATTTTCTTCGTGTGATAACGATGAACTATTTGTACATCCATTGACTAATAAATTATAGGCATGTTTGGCTTCTTCACTTATATCACCTATATGAATTGATAAGACAAATGATATGAATTGATAAGAAACGATGAAAATAATAAACAAACCATTTTGTAAACGTTGTTCAAGTTCACGTGAAAATCGACAAGTTTCTTCATTGGATCTTTTCAATGGAGATTTCTTCAATAGACGACTATGAATGGGCGATGATCGACTGTTCGAATCTGAAAAATTAATTATGCTTTCATTGTTTTCTATTCAAACACTATGATTTACCTGTCATGTTATCCGATGGAGATTGATTTAAGCCGATCGGTCTTGAAGGTATTGACGATAATTGAGGCTAAAAGAAATCGAAAGATTAATGAAAGAGAGTATGATGACTTTATTCGATATATTAAGACTCCAATGTACATTCGACTGGTTGCTTTCAAATATAAACGTTATTAGTTTTTTTCTTTATTGTGCACATATGTTCAGATTTTATCCTTTCACAAATCAACCATATAACAAAAGGGTTCGAATTGCACAGACACAAGCTTTCATAACATTCTTATCTTTCATAAATGAACAGGCCCGTTGTCTTTCTAATAACTCTCGTAAATATAATAGACTTTTGACAAGCGAATCGTCTCGATGTTTTAATTTGAAAACAACAAATCTTAATCATAAAATTTTGTTAACGAAAAACATTATAGGGCCATAATGTTTTTTTTTCTTTCGTCTAATGAATTCATAATCAAATCGAATTCCCTATCACATACAACAATACAAAAGAAGTTTTCACTTGACCTTTGTACGCATAGAAAAAAAAGATACAACTATAAATGTTAACAATTCGTATTCAAGCATAGTTTTATTTGCTTTTAGTCATGCAGTACAAATACGAATGTATTTATAAAATATTTTTTTGTTTTTCTTTCGTGATTGAAGTAATTTTAAAACAAGTAACTTACATTGGCCGTAGGGGATTTTGGAGACGTTGGTTCACTGCGTTCTGGTTTAGGTGGTGGTTTTTGTGAAATATCTTCTTCGATTAGATATGGCATTGTTTCAGGTTCACAATAGATTTCAGTGAAAGCTTGTAAAACTTCATCCAGTAACGATGAAGTTGGCTCATTATTCTAAAAGGAAATCAAAATTTAATTTTAAACGCTAATGTTCAATTGAATTCTTACTGTTTGTTGTTCGACAGAATCTAACTCTTGTTTTGATTCAACAACAACGGCAACAGCTGGCTGTTTATAATTTGATTCAGATTCTTTTGAAAAATAGAAAAAAGAGCATCGTTTCATTATGCAATTCAAACAAAAAATTATACCATTATGCGATGGAGATTTTTCAATCGGTACTTTAATTAAATCAGTTTTTTCAACACCACCCAGACAGGCGACATCACCAAATGTTTCACCTAAAGATCGACAAAAAAAAATGAATTGTTCTATCATTTTCTTTTTTCCTATTGTGTCTATACCTGATACACCAATATGAAATGCATGAATAAAATCTGGTTGTGGTAAACCAATCATATCTTTCGAAAATTGTTTACTTTTTGCTTTAGCACAATTCTTCTTTCCATCTATTCAAAACGATATACATAAATATAAGTCAATTTAAATATATAATTAACCTGTTTTTCGATGAAAAAAATTGCTCATTTTTAAAGAAGATAAATGACTATTACTATGTGTTTTAGTGAGCGTTGTAATTATTGGTTTAGATATTGATATAACATGTAATGGTTCAACATCAGTATTATAAACGAAACCAATTTGACCGTCTACAGATACACACTGTAGAAAATTATTGACCGATGACGATGATATGGGAACGTTAAGACTAGAACAGATGGATGATGGAAGAGAATAAATAGGAGAAGAAAAAAACCGTTGTCGAGATGAACGAAACGAAAAAAATAAAAAGAGCGAGAGAACGAACGGAAAAGGAATATATGTACCATATATCTATGAAGCATAAGCAATGTGTTCAGTGTTAATTAAGAAATTGAATATTTTGCCATTTTTTTTCTTCTTTCGCTTTCTCTCATTCTCAAACGATCATCAACTTGCTGAGATTCAAGGATATATATAATAAAAAAAAAAAAGAAAACGATTGATTGATCGAGCAATCGATGAGAGTGTGTAACAGGTAGCGCGTCACATCATAAAACAAATGACCCCGGCCGCTTACATCCATACAGACCAGAAGAAATGGAGAATGTGTTTATGTAACGATGAATTCCGAGCACGACTGCGCATATACGTACTACCGTTGCTTTGCCTTTCAATCATTTCTCTCATTTTTCTTCTTCTTCTTCTTCTTCTTCTTTCCTTTTATCGTTTATACTAAGCTATCGAAATTTGATGCACACACATATACATACCACCGATCGAGAATCGTCAATGGCCCAAGTGCGCAAGATTCAATCGAGAGAAATCCATCAGGCAAATTTGTTGATGTGGAATTTTTATCTTTCCATCGAACTTGTTTTAGTTCAATCTTGAAATCAAAAGAAGAAAATATGTTTATTCTCTTCTAAGTTATTTTGCGTTTTGTGTATTTACTTCTCGTAAAGTTTTTTCTAATTGAGAAAATGTTGGACGTTCAGTTGGCTCATGTTTCCAACATTGAAGCATGATTTGATACAGTTCTGTTGTTGCATAAGGTGGCCGTGGTAATCGTTGATGATTAGGTGCATCGATAGCATTGGCAATCTAACAAATAAAATTAAAAAAACGATGTATTTCTATTTACTTAAAAACATAGAAATGTATCGATAATTATTATTTATCGACGTAACTATTTGTTAGTATGTTTTTATAGCATGTTTCAATAATATCATAAAATAAGAAAGAATTTATTGTTGATTTAAATATCAAAAATGAGTCATCTCTACGTGATATATCATCACTAAAATAAATTCTTCTAAACAATAGGTACCCTTTGCATAATAAAAATAACGTCAAACTAACTACTAGTATATTTCTTTTGTTTCAGTTTTGTTATTTTTAAAATAAAATAAAATAAATAGAAGAGAAAAAAAAATAATTACTTCAGCACTTGACATTCCTTGCCATGGCATTTGTCCATAGGTAAAACATTCCCACATACAAACACCAAATGAAAAAACATCTGATGCTGATGTAAAACGTAGAAAATTAATCGCCTCCGGACTCATCCATGCTATTGGTAAACGTAATGTATCCTTCCATGATGTTTTATAATAATTTGTTTCCGAACAACAAATACGTGAAAGACCAAAGTCCGAAAGTTTAACCTTGAAAAGAAAACCTGCAAGTCAATATCTTATTAATAATTAATTATACACTTACAAGTGATTTATTGAAAACAAGAACATTTCTACAAGCTAAATCTCTATGTATTAAAAATTTCTTCTCTAAATAACTCATAGCTGTTGTTATTTGTCTTAAGAATTCAATTAGAATTTCTATTGTATATTCACATTTAGAATTATTTGATAATAAACATTCATGTAAAGAACGAGAATGAGCATATTCTGTTACCTAAACAAGAAAAAGAATGCTTTTGTTTAAATAAAATATTTATTTAACACGAAGAAAATTCTTACTAGCATAAAAGAACCGTCTGTTTGTATAACAATACCAAAGAATTGAACAATATGAGTATGTTCAATATCTTGTAATACGCATACTTCTTTTAAAATATCATCGAGACCAAAATCTTGATCGAGTTTATTTAAACATTTAACAGCGACGGTTAACTTAAAGAAAAAAGCAAAAATACATTAGATTTCGAATTCTTAACAATGTGTTTTTGTTTGATCTATGTCTTACTAATTCATTTTGTTTTGCTTTCCAAAAAGCTTTATAAACTAGAACATAATTTTGAAAAAGTCAACATAGTGAAACTATCTAATAATTTAATTTAATTTAACTTACCAGTACCGAATTCTCCTTCACCAATTTTTTCGATCAATTGAATATTTTGTTGTGAGATAATATTTTTTTGCTGTTGATGTTTACCCATATTTGTTTGTTGATTCAAAGATGTTATTGAAGAACCCTGCCGTTCATAATTGCTGTTCAGTTCCAACGTACTTCGTGTTAGATTTGACGTTGAACGAAGTGTTAGTTTCTAATAAGTATATATCAAAGAAAAGATTATACTTGTCGATGTTGATTAGAAAAAATGATGATGAACTTTGTATAAATGTACAAGTGACCACCTGTTTTCTATTGCATTTGACCGCTACTAATTCTGTTGGTTGAGATAATCGAAGAGTAATTCTTCTTCTTCTTTTTTTCTTAACTATGTGGAAGGAGAACTCGGCACGGTCGCTGAAGAAGTAACGCGATGCCGGTCAAAGAAAAAGACAAGAAAAAGATAACGACATGAACGAGAAACAGAAGCAAAAGGGAGGGAATAATGACTCTAGTTGAACACATCTCAACTTTCATTCTAACATCAATTAGCGTATGAATATAGTTTATTTTTTGTTACAAACACTTACTCGAACTAGAAGCTTGCCCAGTGTTGTGCTTGTCAACATTGTATTATTATTTAAAGCCGTATTATATGATGAAGGCATGTGTCGTTTAACTTTTCGAAATTGCGGCTTAGACATGCCTAGTGAAAGAAGATCAGATTCGTTGGCATATCGTAGATCACCAATGCTATACACCTGTAGAATAGAAACAGAAAAGGACAATCAAACTTGAATAGAATCAAAGAAAATAAATGACAGACAGTCAAACACAAAGAAAGAAAGAAAGGAGAAAAGCTTGTTTGCATTTCAGTGAACTGATGGTTGGTCATCATGAAGAATACTAATAAACGCTTAAGCATCAGTGTACATGTATTCTTCTTGCGCAATTTTAGGATCAATTTTCGTTACATCATACAGCTGTAGCATGCGTGCGAGCATGTGTGCGAGGACGGCAGATAGTCTTATTTCTAGTTAGTCTAAATTCGTGTGCGTGTTTGTGTGTGTACGAGTTCTTGAGATGAGAATGCACAAATAGATATATATATAAACTCAAAATACAGAATAAAGAAGAAAAAGAGGAAAGCTCAATTTTCAAGATTGTCAAGGTCAAAATGTTATTTGTATTGAATGCAGATGAAAGGGGAAGTCTGCAATTTACTATTTATCCATTAATAATCGACATCATGTGAATGGGACATGTGCAAGTGAATTATCTCTTTCTATAAGTAAATGCTTCTTATAAACAATGTATTATATGTAGAGCCTCTGATTGAGCACAAGGAAAAAATACCAACAATAGAGAAAGTAGATTAGCTTTTGAATGAACTTAGTAATTACTTGTTGAATTAGTGAATAACTCTAATAAAAAAGGCACTATATATAAGTATGTATGTGGAATTTATTAATGAATAGTTACCTTTCTGATAGTATGCATATCTTTATTCTGATCTTGACATTTCATCCAACTGGATATGGTATCACAAAGGATATGTGGCATTAGTTTTTTTTAAATATTTCATTAAGGATATTGCTTTTTGATAAAGAAATACAGTAAAGAAATACTACTGATTGATTTTAATCGCCTCTCCTCTTTTCTTTTCATTCTTTTTTCTTCCCTCTCTCTCTCTCTCTCTCTCTCTCTCTCTCTATCTCACAGTCTCTTTCTATCTCTTACCTTGAGCTTTTCGACGATCAACGTGTAGTATTCTTCGAGTTCTATTTGCTCAAGAAATTGACGTAGTTGTAGAAGATGATCATGTTTAACCGTCGTATCTATTGTGCCTGTCATTAGCATCTATAAAACAAGAGTTGTGATGTATATGTAAACAATGAGCAGTGAGTAGCCGACTCTACGATGTCAAGAAAAAGAAATGATATGCAGACACATTGGCAATTCATCCCATGGAGAAAAAAGAAGGACGCAAGTTAAAAGAGATCGTTGACCCCGACAGTGCTAGCATGTTGTAGATATGTATGTATATTCATATATATATATATTCTTGTGCGTGTGTGCTCATCACTCTACAGGGTCAAATTGACTTTGCTTGGTGTTGATTACTCTATACATCACTACTACGCGAACATACTTAAATTCTAGGACATTATGTCGGTGACATGACGCGTCATAGATGAAACAAGAAGAAATATTATGTCGCGACATATCATCGAATTCGATAGAAAGAAAACAGCACTTCTCTTACTAATCTTAATACAAATTTGAAAACATAAAAAAAAGAACCGAAATAAGAAAGACAAAAAGGTCAATAGTAATCTTTGTTATCGAATGGTAAAATTTTGTCGATCAATCAACCATATGATGTTTCAGAATTGAACCAACAAGCAAAGAACATGTTACGCTTCAAGCCATACAGACAAGACGAGACATAAACAATAATACATGTATTGATGTGAATGTTTGTCTAAGCTCATCAACATATTTAGAGGTATGTTCGTAAAACATAGACTAAATATTATTAATATTCAACGGCAAATCAATACTTCTAAATGATCAGTTGTCACTTTATGACAACGGAGGAGCACACCAATAGCTATCATCTTCACCAAATCTTATAATATTAGAACTAAAGGACATTATTAACACTGAAGTTGACAATATGACGACAACAGCTGGTGTTAGAAACCTTTAGCTCATTTTAGGATACAACTAATCATGAAAAAGAACTTCGTCGCAAACTTCAATATTTGATTGATAAAAACTCTCAAATTGATGATCAGATGGTTAGAAATTATTTTGCCCGAAGTGAATAAAAAACCATATGGACGTGTTTTCTTCTTTTGTTTTTATCAAACTCAGAAATCATATTTCTAGGCCATTTATTTTCTAATGCATCGATGTAGCTCTAAGTGTAAATGACTAATGGACGAGAAAATTCTCAGTTGATTAATAATCTAGTGATATATTTTGTTGTAGTTCTGCAAATAATTACTCTTAAAACGTTTTGGTACAATCGATCTGATGAGAAAAAAGATGCCATCGATAACACATGTTCGATGTGACAAGCATTTATTTTTTTCGATCAACGCCAAACACGCGCGCCGATATGATTGACATCAACATTGTTTATCATGTTTCTTAAGTTCAGATATTTTGCATCGTGCAGACAAATTCATAAAAAAATAATCGCACGTAAATTAATTTGTTCAAATGATAGAGCAATAGGAGTGAAAATGTCGATAAGCATGTAACTATTTATTTTATTGATCCAAGGTAGACTACTAGAGTTATATAAGTACAAATTACATTTCAATCGATTAGAAGGTTCAATAAAACTGTTGTAGCAATGTTTTTAAATTTAACTATCTTTCGTTCGATATGTTCTAGAAATAATTTGACCAGTTGAATTTTAATGAATTACTCTTGAGAAGAGTTACTCGTGCATGATGAGAATCAACAAAAACAAAAATCAGCGACTCAAGTGGATAATAGATTGGATATATCAAGACGTCAAACTCAGCGATTCGATGAGTGACAAGTGTTTAACCATTATTGAGCTTGTGAACTATCAACAAATGGCATGTGAGATGCAGTCGATCTACGATTTCCATGTTCTCTTAAATGTTCCACTTCTTTCTTATAAGTGATATTAATGCAAGGACGAACAATTAGCATTCAAATGTGTCCAAGTTATTTTTTCAATACATTCAACAATTTTCGTTGGCTCTATGATTTCTTTTTTGAGTTCGCGATAATAATTTTAATTCGTTTTTTTAACAGAACAAATTATTCGAACCTATTTACTAGCAATTATATAATTACATCAGAGGAGGTAGATTACAACACAGTAGTTTTCAATAAAACTATGTTTGATTATAAAATCTATGAAAAAATTATAATTTCAATGTGAAAATGCTTTTATGTCTCAAGCTGTTGCCAGTGAAGCTTCTCTAAGAGCAATTCCTTACAACCGTCTACGAAGAAAAAAATCAAGACTTTCTCTGAGGTTAATCTAACGATCTAAACAATCGGTTTTTATTGCTATTAACTTTTGAAATCTGTCCCTTAATTGACTTTTTCTTTGTTTGATTGAATCTCTCGATAGAAAAAGAAAATTCCAGGAAACCGTTTGCACACTTCGAATATAACTCAGATTGGCGCTTTTACGGCTATTTACTAAATCGGTGATACGCACTCGCTACTTGTTTTTTTTTGTCATGCAAGATTAAAAATAAATCTAAGATTAAATAATTCTTCTAAAAATAATTGGCATACAGGTGAATCAATGCTACTGAATAGGAAATATATCCTTGAAAAAGATTAGGATCGTCACTTTTGTTTTTTGCGCGGATCTATAAAAAAAAACAGAACTTACGATTTTACTATTATGCAAGACGTTTCATTGTGTGTAGTCTTTAACTTTCTTATGATATTTCGGTACCAAATAAAATCTTCCACATTTCATTAATTTTTTATGATAAACTGCCATGCTAACTATCAGCATTAGAATAATTCGGACACTTGAGAAAAAGGAAAAGTAGCTGCAATCTATCACGCGAGCGTTTCGACAAGAAATGTATCACGCGAGATTATAGCATGTACAGCGCCTCGTAATTAAGGTCAAAGTAAACATATTATGTATCCGTTCAGCTCTTATTTTAGGTTTTATCCACTGGTGAATCCAGTGACGAACGTGTTCTTACGAGTAGAACTAACAAGCACGACGGTAGCTTTTAGAGGCACCCACTAATTACGCATACTATAAAAAAAAAAAATAAGCGCATCACAGTATGGAGAATTGCGCAAAAATGAATCAAATCAATTATCTAAGAATGATTATATAAGCTCTCTCTCTCTCTCAATAACTGCAACGACAAACGTTAATTAAGAATTAATTGAAAACTACACTGCAGAAGGATATTTATACTATTCATAATAAAATTGTCAAGATTCAAATTAAAGAAGCCCAACCTTCAGTCATTCATAGTTTTTCCTATTGTGAGAAATTCGGCTTTCAATTTATTACCATAAAATAAAACGCACCGCTTACTATTGTTGAAAGTTTTCAACTTACTTGATATATATGTGCAATTGGCATGATTTTATTTTCTCAAAAAATAATACCGATGAATTTTGTTATTGTTGATGATTCTACTTGTGATAGGCTCTGTTGTCTGAAAAAAAGAAGACTGTTAAATTAGTCAATAAACTAGATTATAACTTATTTGAATAACCAAGTTGAATCTTATGAATGCATACTTATAAGTTGTTCTGTAATGAAGTAAGTATCAAAAGATTATTATTGTTCTCATTTTTTATCGTAAACCACAGAAATAGGATATCGTAGAGTAATCGATCAGTGTTTTCGACGATGCAGAGAATACCTCATTTAAATTATTTACGATGTCATAAACAAGAAATCGTTTAAAACATATTCGAAACATGAATTCAAATATCAAGGAAACTATTTATTTAGCATATTTTCTTTGTATTATAATTTTACTAAGCTCTATTATGAATTGATTATTGAACAGATAATTTTAACGTTGAGTCGTTCAGTCAGTTTTCTTTTCAAATTTTTGCTCAACATTGATTCGTTTAGATTTTGATGATAATATTTATTAGAATAGTAAGTAGAAGCTTGCCAGTAGCGCCAGGAAATGACACACACATATTTAATCCTATGATCACTTGGATTTCAATTTTCATTCAGTTAAAGAATTAAGTTTTGTTGCTAGACGGCTTAGAGAAAGAAAGGCAAATATGGCAATAAAAGACTCAATATACAAGACTATTTAGTAATAATGTCTAAGAAATGACCTTTATTTTATTGGTCTATGTCAAGCTGAAAATCGATACGGTTAGCCTTGGTTCGAAATGTAGACTGTAAAATAGGTAAGACTTGCTTTGACAACACAATATGGCATTATTGGCTGGAAATCGTTTTATTTCTTCATACAATTATGTATCATTGTACTCTGATACTGTGATTGCCAATAGGCATTTACTTCGAATATTTCAGTGAAGTATTTTAGTAGTTTTGAAGTTCATATATTTAATGTTTGTAGTCAACACCTAAGCATACGAATAATATTCTTTCGAAATTCGAATTCCTTGTTTTTTCGATAAATGCCAGTGGAAAAATGAATCAAGACGTATGACATATAAAAAAATTACCATCTCGTCTCATGATAAATGTCATACGAAGGTTTTTTGAATAAATGTTGTTGCACATTTATAGAGCATATTTTGTTATATTACTAATGATACCAAACAAACTGGTGGGTATCCATAGAAAAAAAATCAATATACTAATTACTTGAAATCCTAATCTGATCGACTGCATTCGAATAATGAGCTAATAAGAGTTCTAGGGGCGAAAATCAGTATCCGTTCTATACAAAATTGTACTTTTTGAAATAATTAATTTTGCATGCTGAAAACACACATGTGTCGAGCGATCAATAACTATATATGTAATCATTATTACCAATCTGACATTCGTTAGCTTCTATTCATTGTATGTAGTTATGATGCAAATATCATCTCCCTCTTCGCTATCTCCTTGTCTCGAGTATATTAATAGAAGAATTTTTTGTACAATGTCTCATTAGATAGTCCAATATTGTAGTTAATTGTTAAGCAAACTTTGTCAAATACTTTATTAAGAAAATACTACGAATAATCTTTTTTTCTTTGTAGATATTTCGTAGTGACGATGAACCGAAAATATCAGGGGGAAAATAATTCATTGAACTGTATTGTTCACTCGCCCAATGATGTACTATATAACATTCGCATTTATCACTCATTCTGGAATAACAAAAATCAAAAGTTTTAACCCGAAACGATTTTGCTTTGTAGTCGATACTATTGCATAGCGCCATCTATGTATCAAGTATTAACTGGACATTTCAACTAGCAAATACTTTTCGTTAATAAATCAGCTGCTGTATAATCTCCATTAATATTTTCTTCTTACTAATTGACTTGTTCCTTGTGACGTCATTTTCAATCATGAACCAAATAATCTCTGGTATTCTAAAGAGTACACATTCATTAACGGTCAAAAAACAACTACTAGAACGTATTCGATCAGCCTATCTTCAAATCCCATGTCCAACAACAACACCAATAATTGATCGAACTTGTTATTATCTAATAAATTATGTGCGCGAACTGACAGTATCACAAGTTGATGTTGAGATATTGACATTTGGTCGTACATGTCTTCAATGTTGTCATAATCCTGAATGTCTATGTTCCATAGCTGAACAATTAATCAACGATTCTCGTATTGATGTATCGATATCATTTGTACAATTATTAAGTGATTGTTTACCTAGTGAAATCGGTCGAGCCTTTTTAGAACGTGCTATTTTTGAAAGACATGAATTAAATAATGAAGCATTACGTTTTATATTATTACTAATCACTAAAAATCGTCAACTAACGAATGGACAACGAACAATATTTTATATCAAATTAGTTGAATTAGTCTTATCTCGTTTACGTACATTAGATTTTTCAGTTGAACAAGTTGAATTATTTTGTAAACAATTAGCATCAACAATTGAAGAATTATGTTTTGAAAATAATAAAAAATCCAATAATTTATTAAATGATATGGTTAATGGTGTTACAGGTGGTCTATTAACATGTTTAGCTGATTCATCAACTAAAAATGAACCGTCAACAGCGTTAGCTAACATCATTGATTTATTACAGGAATGTCCAAATGAAAACTTATTAGATTCATTTATTTTAGTAAGCCCATTTTTTTAAATTAAATCAAATTACTTTGGTTTTTCTTTAGACTATTGATGACGATCGTTTAGTACTATGTCTCAATCGTTTAGCTCGAGTTTTCCGTTGGCCATCTACAACAACTAAACCATCGCAGTGGCTTGTTTCTATATGGAAATTATTATTTAAACGTGAACGTGAGATGCTTGTTGCACAATCCGCATCGTCATCAATTATTTCCGATGTAAGTTAGAATCGATTCCTAATGGATTCATAGGTGAACAAAAAAAAAGAATGTATATGCTTTTGTTTATTTCAGTTGATATCGATGATTGGTAATCCATCGTGCTATCAAAATATTGTTCCGGCTCTATGTTGGATATTTGTTAATCAACCATTTCATTTACAAACTGTACGTAGAATAAATAAGGAGTTCTTTTGTTTTTTTTTTAGTTTCAGAATTTCTATTCTAGTTTGCAAGTCCATTACAAAATGAAATTCTTCAACTTGTTCTTAATAATCCGAATTTTCTTAGTGATAATATGGAAATGAATAATCTTGTTGAAAGTGTACGTTACGGACTTAAAAGTTTATTAAACAATGAAGATAATGTACTTAATCAGGATTTATTTAATAATTTACTTCAAGTAAAATATAGCATTATGTTTTTTGTTCATTATTAATTGATGTCGTTGAATTTAGAGCCTTCCAAAATCAAATCAAAGTTTTGCTAAAAATATTCACTTAATGAAATGTAAATCATCATCAGTGGAAAACTATTCAAATGAAATACCAATTCGTCTACATGATAAAATTGGTTTAGCTAATATGGGAAATACTTGTTATTTAAATGCGATGATGCAAGCATTATATTCTTGTACACAGTAAGAGACTAGTCTTTAAATGAATTTCATTATTGTTGTTTGTCTGTATAGATTCCGAAAATGTGTACTGAATTGTGATGCATTATCGACAAATAATGAATTATTAAAGTCATTACAGAATCTATTTGCTTTTCTAACAGCTTCACAAGTGGGAGAGAAGAATTTAAAAAATAAAATGATAAATGTTTGTTTCTTTGTAGCGATCATATTATCGACCAGAAAGGTTTTGGCTTCAAACTAAACCATCGTATTTTGAACGTAATCAACAGCAAGATTGTCAGGAATTTCTCAGACATCTACTAGACACACTTCATGAAGAAGCCAAAAGAACGATACAAAATGAGTATGTAGTTTATTGTTCTCTCTGGAAAGAATTGAAGTAGTTTCTAGCGGGTGTTAGAATTTTGTTTTTTCATTGTTGAATATATCATTAGAAAATTACTGGTGGTCACAGTGAAGAAGTTCGTATTCAGAATAAAATCTAGCTAAATAGCATTAAAATTAATAAAGGTAAAATTTCGATTAGATACTCTCCAAACTCTCAAACGGTTTCGGTTTCATGCATGTGTACTTTTAAATACTTACGCTACTGATTTATGAATTAGTTATTGACGCGATTGAATTAGAGTCTGGTGAATGTGTTTAAGTTTTTACGAAAATAACAAATAGTATCTGTATGTAAACTCGAGAATTGTAGAATGTTCCGTCTACAAGTTTTAGTTATAATAGATTTAAAAATATTGGTATTGTTGCAGATTGAAATTCACACAAAAACTCTATTAATATTAGTGAAGCGTAGATAAGTATAGGACCCTAATTCGATTCGACACTCCTCTGACGAACAGCATATTTCGATGTCGGATTGCAAAAAAGTAAACGAAAAATAAAAATTTTGTCTTAAGATCAACTCTCGATTGTGTTAAACAACATCTAATGGGTACCTGCATTCATCAGAGTAAATGTTTGACTTGTTTATCAATAACAAATTCTCAAGATTTATTCTATGATTTGTCTCTGGGTTTCAATGATCAATCTTTAACTACGAATGATCAACAACAAAAATGTTTTGACTTGCAATCGCTTATTGATCATGCATTTGCATGGGAACCATTGGTGAATGAAAATCAATTTGAATGTGATACATGTCAAACAAAACAAGACGGTTCACGCCGAATGTTTTTAACATCACATCCAAATTATCTTATTTTATTATTAAAACGCTTTGTACATAATCGTCTAACAGGCAAATATGAAAAATGTCTTGATCGTACAACATTACCTGAATTGATACAACTATTAACCGTTAATGAAGCACATATATCATATCGATTGAAAGCAATTGTTGTTCATCATGGTTTATCCATGAATAGTGGACATTATTATGCATTTGTTATGTGCAATAATGATGATCTAGTGGATAAAAATAATGCAAATCATATTGGTTGGTGGCTTTTCAATGATACACATGTTGAACATCTATCATTTGAAAATGTTTGTGCGCATTTTCAACGTTTTCAATCAGCTACACCTTATGTTCTAATTTTCGAAAAAGATACTCAAGGTTGGTTTGTTTTTATTTGTAAAAGAAAATCTATTGTTATCATTCTTTCGTTTTTATATTGAAGATATGAATGCAACAGAATTACCAATGTTACCATATTTACAAACATTAGTTGAGCATGATAATCAACTTTATGCGCAAGTAAGTGTTCTATTGGATTCTTCTTACAACTATACATATACAAGTTTATTTTCTAGGAACAAACTCGTCGTAGCCGTTCATCAAAATCTGCTGATATGTCTGATGTATCCGAACCCTATTACAAAAATACAGGTTGTAAAGACCAAAGTCCCGATCGTGGACCGCCATGTATTTTTTAACCATTTTTTTGTTCCTTTTATTGATTTATTTATGATGCATAGCATAAAAGAAAGTTTTCTTTTTATTTGTGTGAGGGACTGGTGTACAGTTTTAAGTTATTTGTTCTTTTTTAATTTGACCGTGTATATATAAACAGGATGATATTATACGAGAAAAACAAAAAAAAGCATTTTAGAGATAGAAAATAGTTGTGTCCGTTGATAACAGCAAGACAAGGCAATGACGTTCTAATGATATTCGTTCAATCAAAGAAATATACTGTTTGACGATAGGTGATAATCGATGTCAATTTTTAGTTCAAATCGGTAGTCTTTTCTACTAACCAAACTTGAAAGCTTTTTTTTTTAATGTTGAAAAATTGGAGGGCATATTATTCCATTTTCAAATTAATTCCATTTGCACAATCGATGTCTTAATTACTGTCTTTATCTAACAATAGCAGTGTCTATGCTTCATATCTCTATAAAAATCAAAGCTGTCTTTATAATTACCCATAGTTTCCGAATCACATCGATCGCTACAAAGATGCTCACGTATATACAACGACCACCCACATTTCACTCACTTTTTCGCAGTTTTAATATGAACAATTGGCTCTCGTTCAGCTCAACATGAACTATTCTTCTACGTCATATCTAGCCTGAACACCTAATTCCTGTTATAAAAAAAAAAGAAGAATAAGGTCAACCAACACCGCAGGACAGGAAATGAAAAAGAATCCTAACATTGTCCTATGTTTTCCCTATCATATTTACATCTGTTTCTCGTTTACAATAAAATCTAACAGAGCATATATCGTTATATCACCGTTCCATTCTAAATATATATTTATATTTATTCTATTTGAAAATGTATGTTGGGATAATTTCTTGTCCAATATCAATGCCGTATTAACAGACCATTGCAGATAAAAAACAACAAAAGATGTAACACGTAGGAGTCGAATATAAGAGCCCTTAACCATATCATCAAAATCAACTCGTAAAAACAAATCGCGTTTGATGAAAAGTAAGCAGTAAAATTGATAATTGCCTGTCAAATCAGATTCACAATTCTATACGTTTAATATCGTACAATGCTCATGATTATGTGTTATGTATTAAATATACCAGTACAACAAAAATGAGAAAAACTTTCAGTGCATGTGTATGTATTTATTTTTCTTAATTTCACTCAATTAAATACCGATTGATCATTTTGAATAACAAGTATATATCCGTTTAAATAAATGTACATGTGCATTCATTCCCGCATCGATTTAAAGACGATAGTTCAATCACAATATCAATAACAGTTAATATTTTTTGCAACATACGAAATCAACTATTCTTAACCAAACAAACATCAGGTTAAATATGTCTACATATTTTGTTGTATCATCTGGTTTGATACATTTTTTATCATTTTGTTCAAGTTACATAGATGAACGAACGGCAATTAATCGTTCCGCTCGTTTGATTAACGCTAGACAAGTATTTTATTGTTTCGCCTATCTCGACGACTATTTTAGCATGTTCATGGACTCAATAATTAAATATTTGTTCTTGTGAAAATATTTTTTCAGTGCATAATATTATGGAAAGGTGTTTTTGCCATATTGCATGAATAATCTATCGCATTGACAATTGACACCTTACCACTGACTTCGTTCCCGCATCGCTTTCCTTCTAGTTTGTCTTCTCCTATCCAATCAATCATTGAGAAAATTTCGCCATCGATATCCAATAGATGATTTTTATTCTCTTTCTCTTTTTCTCGTTTGCATCCGCGCCGTATTCATTCAGTTAAGTCGTAATTCAATTTATTCTCACATCAACAAACATACCCGCCCTTTGAATATTAACGATATTAATCAGACCAAGTGACCGGTAAGTTTTAGAATCTATCGAAAACTTTTTGTTCATATGTTCCTTGATCGACAACATCTACTTCTAAGAAGAGAAAATAGCTAACTTTTTTTTTCGTGAAATGTTATTCTTTTGGAGCACTTTCAAACACTATCTATATAACGCATTAATTTGTCAGCACCTTCCAGTCATTTGTCGGACTCAATTAAAATGTGAAATGTGTTTCATCTTTAAGTCGTCTATGTTTTTGTTTTATTATACTTTGTTGATCTATTCTATGCGGCTTACTCACCCTATTCGTTAAAATTTAATAGGTGTGAGCACACGAGCACTCATTGATTTTGTGCTATGCTACGTAACTTCAAATAGTCTCTCTCATAGCAGCAAGAAAAAGTTATTAACACTTACGATTACGTCTCCCTTGAAAGAGCGAATTTATACGATATTACCACCTGATAATAAATCTTTATATCTATGATGCCTCATCGATAATGACAGTAAATTTTCACTTTGATTACGTATGTGTAGAGAATAATTATATCAGGTACTGTTCAATAAAATGTTTTGCCTTTTTTTTTTCTTCTATCATTAATTTTGAATTATTTTCAGAAATGAATTCACTTGCGTCAATACTATATTCTTCGCCATCAGCAAAACTGAAAAAACGGAAAAATATATCGTTACAACCTTTACCGAAGCCCATAAAAATAATCTATCCAAAATCAACAAAATGCACAACTAGTGGCATATTATTTCGTTCATCAACACCTAAAACTCCGTTAACAACAGCAAGTAAGAATGCATTCATTTTCATTGAATATCTAATTGATTATGAAACATTTATTTTGATTGTCAGCCATTCGTTAGAATATATTAACTATAAGATGAGTCGTCATATCGCAATTGTATGTTAAATGTAAATCAATAAAAAGTGAAAAGACCGACAGGAAATCCTATATTCAAGTGTCTACAATCGCAGCATCATTCTACTAAATAACAATCGTCGCCTTAGATTGAAAAGCTGAGAGAAGCACTTGATTGAGAAGAAGAAGAAAAAAAGTATATATTATTCTAATTGGATAAAGTCACCAGGGCGGAGTTTTCTTCTTAACAACAAAGCAAAATGTTTTCCTCTTAGACCACTAGAAATTTCGATCGAGTTATTTGTAACTTTGTTGATAAATTAACGGATGACGATTGTCTGAGTATTTATTTGTCGGATTGCTTTCCTTTGAAGATATGACACCGATCTAGGACATAAATGGCTAGATTATTAAATTTCATATTGTTTTTAATACTTGAGAAAAACCATTTGTTATTTTAGTTCGTCCCATATCAACATCTTCTTTTCCAAGAAATTCTCCTAATAGTCCACGTTGCTCAACACCTTTATTTGCTAAACAACGGAGATCAAGAGCATTTATTGCATGCGAACTTTGCCGTGAACGAGCATTTCAATCATTAAATGAAAATAAAAATGATAAAAAACATATTTCTCATCATTGCTCAACAACATTATGTCACTATCAAAATCAAACAAACACAAAATATCATCGAAGGCGATCATCAATAGATCAATTGCTTGTTTGGATTGTTTAATATTAAAAACAAACTAATTGCTTTTTAATATGAACAGTAATCTCGATCGCTACTTTGTTGTTGTGTTTTGTTTTTTTGTATATAAATTCTTACGATTAGATTTACGCCTCTCTCGTTGTCTTCACTCATAAAATAAAGCGATCAATATTATTTTCGATTCAAAGTACAAACCAACCGGTTAATTTCGAATGATACAGAAGTGGAACTAACACATTTCCATGATGACATAGATACGCTCATCATCATCATATTAGCCCATAAATTTCAATCTGTTGATACATAAACAAGTGATTAGTTGCTCGTCATTGTTAATTGACGAGCAGATAATAACATGCGAGTGGAAAATTGATAATTTGTCTTCAACGAGTATATATATATATATAAATTCTTCTGCAAATGATAACTTACAGTAAAAAAGAAAGGCGAAGATGAATGTCTCAATGTGGCCATATGCATTCGAAGGACTCTATCAACATAATCGAAGTGGAACGTTAGATTCTTCATCAGGTTATGAGAGTGCAAATAATGATACAAGTATCGTTGAAACCTATGCAGTAACTCATGCTAGGGTAAGAAAAGATACTTTGTTGGCGAATGAATTTTCAGTTTCGATCCTATTTCAGAGTGAGCATTATCGTTGTACAAAACGTCGAATGTTATCATGTACACAACGCGAAGAAGCAAATCGACGCGAACGTCATCGAATGGAAATTATTAATCAAGCTTATGAAGATTTACGAAATGTACTTCCAAGCAAAAAAGGTCGAAAACGTCAAAAAATGTCACGAATGGATACAGTCGATGGGGCTATTCAATATATTCATGCATTGCTCGAAACACTTCAGGGTTCAAATTAGAATCTACTCACAAGAATAACAATAGTTCTTTCCTTGTTCTTTTAGTAATTGTTAATAGATAAAAAAATATATTTTGAATATATATATAAATTATACTCTTGAATTTAATCTGTACTGCTATTTACAGCTGTTGGTGATGCTGCTGAAAATCAACTGATGTCAAATTCTGAAAGTAAGTTCTCTACATCTTGAAGATTTCTTTCGCTAGCTTATTTTAATGATGCACGACGTCAAGTAGTTATTTATATTTTCGGATTAGATGAGAAGAAATTTAGGTGGTGAAGATTTTCATCAGCGTATTGTGGAATATTTTATTGAGTTATGTAAAAACAAAACTGGTAAAGATATTCGAAAAGATTATCGTGCTGTTCAAAAACTTAGACATGAAGTTAAAAAAGTTAAACGAACATTATCATCACAACATCAAGTCAAGATTGAAATTGAATCATTTCGTTGATAATGAAGATTTTAGTTAAACATTAACAAGAACTTAATATGAGATTTATTTCATTTGACCACTGAATTAGTACAAAAAGCATTAAAACCTTTTAACATATCTACAATTGATGAAATTATTCTTGTCGGTGGTTCCACTCGTATTCCAAAAGTTCTACAATTATCCCAGGTCGATCAACTTGGATCGTACATGGCAGTTTGGTATGGACCCCATGTGAAAGTAAAATCTCTACACACTGTGGATACCAGTTAAAAGTGTCAATAGAAAATATCCTCCAAGTCACGTTGAATTTACATGAATTTTTGTATATGTTAAAAAATAATCGTACAAGAAAATAATATTGATGAAAACTCAATAGGAGAAAAGCTGTTGATGATCATCAACAAAATACTTTTAAACGAAAGGAATTATTTAAAAAGAAAGAGAAAACAGTTGTAAGAGGTACTTTTACCTTCTTCAACACTACGAACAAAAGGATCGATGAATCTTGAGGTGTCAGAAAAAAAACACGAATCAATTATTCAGCGTTGTTCAATTATGGTTGGTTTTGACTTGCGAAACAGAAAAACTATGAACGGATTGTATATTTGTCGACTATGTAATCTGAGTTTACGAGAGTCATGTTAACTTTCACATGTATGGATATCGTCAATGTAACACTTGTTGATCTCATTTGAATATTAGTTATTTTTCATCAAGGCATTTAATCGAATTTACAGAATTTCTTGAACAAAGTCAGTGGTATCAAATTGTTTTCTTTTGAAGATAATGTCCGATAGTACTTTCAAGAATGATATGTTCATTTAAGGATTACGAAGTATAACAAAAAGAGCATACTTTATAATATTTAATTTAATTACAATGTGAATACAGTTGATGAATTATTGTTTTAGAAGCACGTTAAAGTTACATATTCTCATCCAATCTGCAAATTTTGTAGAGAAAAATTCAACTCAATGATAGAACATGACTAGGACATACAAAAATGCTAGTATTTTCTTTACTGAAAGAACTCATTAAATACAAAAGTAAAAAATTAATATAATTTCAACTGAATTGTATAAATCGAAGCCATCCTTTTCTGATTCGACTGCCTAAAAAAAAAAGATTGTTATGGAAAAATATGATATTTTAATAAGATGTCTGTGGTGCAAAGGTGGGCATGACAGCAGGACAATGTTTTCTTCGTTGGCAGAAGGTATTCGCTATCTCAAAAAAATGAACAACTTGCTGATTCGATGAGCATCACTATTTTGCGCCATGCTTATTTTAGTATTTCTTGCATTGTAACTAGGTAAAATATCGTATATGTCAATGCTTATCCAACAATTATTGATTAAACAAGAAGCAGAACAAAAAGCACAACCTCAGCAAATTCAACTAATTATTATTATTTGATGCCTGTGGTATACTTTCAAGTATTTTTTCATGTTTGATTGTTTCATGAAATTACCAATGCTAAGGACTAGTTTTTCCCCCTGAGAACTCGAATAAGAACTGAATAAAATCAATATGCCATAAAAACAGAGAGAGACAAACTGAGAATTAGAGAATCACATTTTAACAAAAATGATTCTTAAAAGTTAGTTAGCTTTACTGCTCTACTTGCATAATAAGAAAAACCGACAATGGGGAAAATATCAATATTTTTAAATTAATATGACGATTATTATAGCTCTAGGGTATTAATGAGCAAATCTGAAAGTATTTCATATTCTAAAAAGCTAGATACATCGTTTTCGTAATTGTATTTCAACTCCATTGATTTCAAACTATGATCAGAGATATATTTTATTTTTCAATTTAGATCACTTCGAGCAAGTTTCATTCCTTTGTTTTTTTCTTAAATATACAATTTAGCTTCATGAAGTTTTGTATTTATACGATTTAAGCAATATAAACTGCGTTCAAATCAAATTTTGCTGAATCTTTTTATTAAAGTTTTGTTATAGAAGAAAACAAACTAAATATACTAATTTGAAAATGAAAGTGTTGATCGTTTTTAAACAGTAAGAAAGACGAACATTTTTATCTGATTGTATTATCCATTTGCACGAAAACTTGACAACCAAGAAAAGTCTATAACATATTCCATACCCATTGGCCTTGAAGTTAGATAGTTACCATCTGTATTTGGTCTCATTTTAACAGCAGCGATATTTTCAACACTGATTTAGAGATCTTAATGTTACTAACACCATTTCAAAGGGCATCAGACGAAATTTCGTTCTTGAGATCATTACGTCATAAAAAGGCTGACTTTGGATGCTTCGCATTGCATTAAACATTGTTCAATGCTATTATTCTATGCTAACAATGGAAGTTTGTGAACTGTTAAGCAGTAAAATTGACCTTGTTCCGGGGAAATGATCACTCTCATCGAGAAACTAACGTACTTAAAAGATGAGCTGCCCATGGCTTACCTGGACAGAGATATTCGATTTTTCAGTAAGCTTTCTCTGCGGGACCTTACTTTCGAAGCAAAATCAAATTTTTGAATTTCGACCTGAAACTTTGTAAACATGAAAACCTCAATGAGGNAAACTACTTAATGGTGTTTAATCGTAGGAGAGACACACATCAGACACAATATCTTCATCATGTCACTCGATACTTTTTCTATGATGTATGAATTAAACTGTATTTGTGTAACATAATTTTGAGTATTAAACTGTAGTTTTAATTTACCATAGAAGAATCACAGACACGAGCGTGTATTATGAGAAAAGCTGCAAAGAACAGTAAAGATAAACATCAATTTATTTACATCCATTTTATCCCTCACCAGCTGGCTTCAAAATCCAAGCTCGCCTTTGCTCAAATGAGGATGGAAGTGCTCGACGTACACATATGAGATCGTTCTTTTTTGTTTCAATCCGTAAAACAAATGATGCAATCTTACGTTAGCCCTTCCACTACCGCAAGTCTCAATCCTCGATTGTCAATGCTTATCCAACAATTATTGCTTAAACAAGAAGCAAAACAAAAAACACAGCAAATTCAACTAATTATCATTATATGTTTTAATTAAGAATTTTCTATTGCCGGATGCCTGTGATATGCGCTTGCAAATACTTTCATATTTGATTGTTTCATGAAATTATCAATGTTAAGGACTAGTTTTTTTTCCTGAGAACTCGAATAAGAACTGAATAAAATCAATGTGCCATCAAAACAGAAAACGACATACTTAGAATTAGAGAATCACATTTTAACAAACATGTTTATTAAAATTCAGTTGAATTCTAGCTTCTCTACTTGCATAATAAGAAAAACAGACAATGGGCAAAATATCCAAATCTTTGAATTAGTATGACGATTAGTATAGTTCTAGGGTATTAATGAATATGTCTGAAAGTATTTCATATTTAAAAAAGCTAGATGCATTGTTTTCATGATTATATTTCAACACTCCATTGATTTTAAACTATGAACAGAGATATATTTTATTTTTCAATTTAGATCACTTCAAGCAAGTTTCATTCCTTTGTTTTTTTCTAAAATATACAATTGCTTAAGTGACCAGAAATTTCGCGTAGCCAATGGTCTTAATCGAAGTATTTCACGTTGTTTAGCTTCATGAAGTTTTGTATTTATACGATCTCAGCAATATAAGCTACGTTCAAATCAAATTCTCCTGAATGTTTCTATTAAAGTTTTCGTTATAGAAAAGAAAACTAAGTGTACTGATTTCAAAATAAAAGTGTTGATCATTTTATAAACAATAAGCCAGCCGAAGGTTTTTATCTGATTGTATTATCCATTTTCAAGAAAACTTGACAACCGAGGAAAGTCTATAACATATTTCACATCCGTCGGCCTTGAAGTTAGATAGTGTTACCACCAATATTTTGTCTCATTTTAGCAGCAACGATATTTTCAACACTGATTTATTTTCTCATGCTCGTTCTATTCAGGCAATTCACGTTTTGCATGACATAGTAATACAAAAAGAAAGGATACCAATTCTATAATAAATTCGTTACAAATTTACGAGAATGATACATTCAGAATCATATGAAATAAGATCGATTGTATTTTAAGTGTAAATTGTTTACATTCATAAAAGTCAGCATCAATATAAGTAAACATATTCGGTCTTTTATTTGAATGATTGAATATTAAATATTTATTTATTTTTAGGCTAATGAATTTTCAAGATTTAATAAAATTTATGAATTTAATCGTCAACTTTTTAATCATGGCTAAATCAACGCCAAGTCTGACTACATGGAATCGGCTAACTGAGAAGTATGACCCATATTACACTTTGCTCAAACCAAATTCGACGGGAGAAATCGAACAAAATTTGTAGCATATAGAGATCTTAATTTTACTAAAACCGTTTCAACCCGTATCAGGCGAAATTCCGTTCTTGAGGTCATGGCGTCACAAAAATGCTGACTTTGAATGCTTCGCATTGTATTAAATATTGTTCAATGCTATTGTTTTAGGTTAACACAATAGAAGTTTTTTCAGTAAATGACATGTTTCGATAAGAAATAACAACTTTTGTCCAATCTTCTGAACAGGCATAAATTTT